AGTGCCATGGTCCCAGCTCAGGCCCTGGGCCACTCCCTCGTGGGTCACAGTGTCAGAGCCAGTGCCATGGTGCCAGCTCAGCCCCTGAGCTGCTCCCTTGTGGGTCACAGTGTCAGAAACAGTGCTATGGTGCCAGCTCAGCCCCTGGGCCAGTCCCTCGTGGGTCCCGGTGTCAGAGCCAGTGCCATGGTGCCAGCTCAGCCCCTGAGCTGCTCCCTCGTGGGTCACAGTGTCAGAGACAGTGCCATGGTCCCAGCTCGGCCCCTGGGCCACTCCCTCGTGGGTCACGGTGTCAGAGACAGTGCCATGGTCCCAGCTCAGCCCCTGGGCTGCAGGGTGCCCTCCCCCTGCCTCTGGCCCCAAGCACCGGCTGGGAAACACAGCAAAAGATGCTTCAGGGAAACACAAATTATTTTAACATACACCTTTTATTTTCAGTACACCTGAATTATTTTCAAAGTGTACTGGATTATGTTAATTTTATCTAGTTTTAACCAAAACCAAATCTGTTTTTTGCATGACACCTCCCTATCACACATTAGCCAATGTTAATTAAGTTTTAAAATAGAATATTCAACAAGTTCTAAATGAGACTCAAAGCATAACAAAAGTAATGACTGTGAGACACCGTCATGGAATAGTACAAATGCTGGTATTAATTAGTAAATACAAGCTGTTCAGGAGCAGAAGTGGTGCCTGTCATGCTGATGTGTGTTTGGATCATATGTGATCCCAGCATGCAGGGAAAGCAAATGTCAGCTGCCAAAGCCTCAGCCTTCCTGACTGCTCGTTACTGTTTTGGGAAGCAAGTGTTGCTATTTTAGCACTGCTCTGTGCCCCAAGGTATGTAGTTTGCAGAGTTATCATCAGGTATTCTAGGGTTGCCCATATTTTAAATATTTTAAGATGGATATGTTTTTTTATATTGATACAAGAATTTATTGGTGTGTAAAAAGTGATCTCCTTAATTTGTGGTGAAATTGAATTCCTTCACAATCCTCTTTGTGAATTCCTCTTGTGAATTCCTTCACTGACACTTCTCTTTTCACTGACACTGTGATGCAGAAAAGGCTGGTATGTGGAGGAACCAGAGTTCTGTATGCTAAACCAAGCTGCAAATGGGCACATTTCCTCCATAAGAGGACACTATTTGTAAAGTTTTATAGTTTATTTTTTACTCTACGACAGTGAACTGTATTCCAACAGCACTGTACAGTCTCGGGCTGCCCTCTAGTGTGAGCAGCTGTGGAGACAGGGCACAGCCTGCCAAAAACCTGCTTCCTTTCACTTTGTTTTTTAAAACCCAGCTATTAAACCATTGGGATTTTCTGAAAACATTTTTGGATTATTATTTGGTTTTGATTTCTGTGCCACTGAGATCTATTTGGACTGTACTTCCCGGCGCTTTCTTGTTTCTGTCAGGCACAGACAAGCCAGTCTTTTGTCTGTGCCCTGGAGCAGCAGCTGCAATTCGAGATGAGGAGCCAGGACTGCAAGGAAATAATGACCCTTCAGCTGGGAAGGATGGTTTATCAGCTGGGGGCGGGGGGCAGAACACGATGACAAGCCTTGAGTTAAGAGAGAGCTGATAAAGCAGAAAAATGAATGGAAAAATATATGGAAAAGACACACTTGAGGGATACATGGTGCTTCAAAAGACTCTGCTCATCAGTCAAACACAGCAATCTAAAATCAGTCAACCAAGGCCCTAATGCAAGAGTTTGGGCTTACACACATAAATATTGCAAACCTGCCTCTGGCATACCTACCCTGACACGAGATGAAGGTTCAGGCTATGCCCACCCACCACCCCCAGACATGACCCTTTCCTAGATGGGTTGTTCCAGGGGTCACCAAGGACTGAGTCCCTGGGAAGGTCCTGGCTGCACAGCCAGTGCTGGGAGGGAACAGCTGTGCTGGGAATGGTCAGCCACTGGCCCTGAAAGTGCTGGCACTGAGCTCCCCCAGGCCCAGAGGAGATGTCAGCAGCAGGATGCCAAGGCTGGGTGCAGGCAGGAGCTGTGGGATGGTGGCAGGGCTGGCATGGACTGGATGGATGCTGCTTCAGCACACTCATGGGAAGGGGGTGGGAATTGTATTATCTGGATAGAGGAAATCAGATCAGAAGGCTTTAAATGGAAATTATTTTCACCAGTACAGATGTCCCTAGGGACTAAATTCAACTGCTAATACAATTTGGCCAAGAGGAATAAACTATATTGATCTTGAGAGCTCAAATGCTTGCTGAGACAGTCCTTCTAGAGAATTACAGTATTTATTTCCTGCATCACTCTCAGCAAAAGTATAATAGTGATTACAGCGCAGTGACTTTTTGCACACACCAGTTAACTTCACGCTCATCTCTCGCCTCAGTGCATAATTACTCTTTTTTTTTTTAATCCCTGATCTGCTATTCTTGTGTCACACAAACATCTTTAATTATACTGTCTTTGGTCACTTCACATCTCAGGTTTTAGCTTTCTGTGACTGTCACAATAAAGATCATTGTGTAATTGCTCCAGAGCCACCCAGCTCTCCCAGGACACTGCTGTTCTTGGGTCCTTGCCCATCCCTGCAGCTCAGTATCCCCAAGAGGTACAGCAGTATCCTCCCCTAGGGCACACTGCTAGACTGTGTCCATGAAGGGGGTTTGCATAAGTGTGAGTGGGGTGTTATTATTTTGGGAGAGCAATAAATAAAGCCATATAGATTAAATTGGATAAGAAACACCAATGTTGGCACCTATAACATGGTATTAATGATATATATCATGGAACTTTATCACTACAAACCTATTCCAAGGGGATTTACTTGAAGTCAAAAGCTTCAAAATTCTAAGATACTAAGATAGGGTGCTGCACATCCCAAAATAATAATTACAGTTTTTTGCTGGCATATTTCCATATCACTTTACATTCACATCTTACCCATATTTCCTCATTTCTCTGAACCTTCTTTTTCTTACCTGCAAACTGCCTTTGCCTATTCTGTGGTTTCTCAGTTTCTTCACCTATTCTTTTTCATGTTTATCTGATGTGAGCCTCGGCTCCTGACACAGAGCCTTCTTGCCAGGACACACAGTAACGCGCTGAGCTCGCTCCCTCAGACATTATAGCTGAAGATAAATTGGGAAATGAAGATGTAGAGCTGTTGGAAGAGACTGGTTTCCCCAGGCACCAGTTTAGCCTGGATCATTGGATTTACAACACCAGCACCGACAACACTGATTTGACTATTAATCCCTGAAGTGCCCTAAGAATTGCAGCATAAATCCAGTGAAGGAGCACTCATACGGCCCTAAAGGCCCATAGCACTTATCCTGGTACTCCATTCATGAAAATTGATCTTCTCATAGTAGCAATGACAACTCAAGGAGTCCCCGCTTTGTAAAACCAGGAGATCCACTTGCTGTGGTTACGTACTTTACTGCCAGGAGGTCGGTGATACAAACCAGCTGCTGTTCATGCTTATACTCTGCAGACACCAGCCCCTTCTCCTTTACACACAACCAGAGAGATCTACTATTTCATTCCCTGTAAGGGATCACTTTAGTGCCTTTGTGCCCCACAGCAGCACGCCACAAAACCATCATGTTTCCTATACCCTGCCCCTATAGCTCCCTTCCCAAATATCCTTTACCAAGCAGTGCTTAATTATCTGCTAAGCAAATATCACCATGTGACAAGAATATAAATATTTTCTGTATCTTTTTTTCATGCCTGAGGAGAGAACTGCAGGAGTTGGGACTGGGCTGGCAGAAAAAAGAATTGGCCATGCTGGTTTCAAGACACTTCTGTTTTGTAAGTGAGTGGGACTTTGTCCTGTCCCAGAAGGAAAGAAGCCCTGATACGTCAGAGCATGTAAATCTCATAGCAAGTGGCATCTTCCTGTGTCCTGACCTCGATTGCTAGAAACAGGAGATTGGTTTTAACTAGATTTTAACCCAAGATCTCATGTTGCCAGGTGTGCAGTTCCAGGACAGCTCTGACACACTGTTAACAGCTGAGAGCAGAGCCAGGCACTCCCTGCAGTGGCAGGGCTGTGGCTGGAGAGGCCACGTAGGACAGGATGGGACTAGGAAAGAACTTCTCTCCTGTTGTAAATGCAGGGATGGGAAGAAATGACGATGTCTGACTCAGTTCAGAAGGCTGAATGATTTCTTTATTATAACTATGCTAAAATACATTCATATACTATAGAAAGGAAGATACTACAACTACATACCTACTTTTCTAACTACCATATCTAACTAACTCACAACTGGTGACCCTGCTCTCGAGAATCCAGCCACGGGATTGGACTGGATTTATTGGATTGGCCATCAGGCTCAAACAATCCTCACCAGAATGCAATGAAGCACTCACCCCAGGTAAACAATTCTCCAAGCACATTCCTTATGAGAAAAACAAGGAGCAGAAATAGAAATTGTTTTCTCTTTCTTTTTCTCTGTGCACCTCTATGAAAAATCCTGAGAGAGAGAGGAAGGTGCCGTGCCGCTGTCCTGCAGGAGAAGCGGCAGTGGAGGAGCTTCAGCCGGGGCAGAGGAGCAGCGCTGCCGCGGCCCTGAGCCGGGACGGCGGCTGGCTCCAGCGGGCTCCAGCGGGCTCCAGCGCCACTCTGGGAAAGCTCGGGAGGGGCAGATCTCCTGAACAAATGAGGCAACAGAAGTGGGAGCCGAGGGTGGCAGGACGGAGAGGTGGCACTGCGTATCGCAGCAGCGTGGCGGGAGCGGCTGCGGGATGAGGGGGCGGTGAGGGCGGACACGGGCGGGCTGGCCGTGCCGGGGCCGACTCTGCCGCTCTGTGGGAAGGACGCGGCCATGGCCGTGCTCCCGCGGCGCTCAGCGCCTGTCCGCCGCCGCACCCCATGGGGGACGGCCTGTGTTACAGACGGTGTGATTGACAGCGCTTTTAAAAACCTCCCCCGTTACAGGAAACGGAAGGGTTGTTGTTTAGTGCCTCCCAGGTCAGATTTTATCACCACAAAAGCAGTAAAACCCCAACTGCTACCGCAGCTGCCCTCACGGCGGGCGGACACGCCGCCTTGCGGCCAGGTCGGGAAGCGCCGCTGTGCGCACGCGTGTCTGACTCATCATCGGCCGGCGCCGGCTGCGTCTGGACGCCATGGAGGGTGAGGGGAGAGAGGGCGAGGCATGGAGGGAGCGATGAGGGGAGAGCGGTGCGGGGCGAGGGATGGAGGGAGCGGTGAGGGGAGAGCGGTGCGGGGCGAGGGATGGAGGGAGCGGTGAGGGGAGAGCGGTGCGGGGCGAGGGACGGGGAGAGTGGTGCGGGGCGAGGGATGGAGGGCGAGGGAGGAGGTCTCGGAGGGCGAGGGATGGAGAGTGAAGGATGGAGAATGAAGGGATGAGGGGAAAGCGGTGGAGGGTGAGGGGACGAGGGAAGAGTGATGGAGGGTAAGGGGATGGAGGGCGGGCATTGCAACGTGAGGGATGGGGGCGGGCGGTGCGAGGCGAGGGACGGGGTGGGCGCGGGGGCGATGGGGCGATGGAGGATGAGGGACGCAGGGAGGGCGGTGCGGGGCCAGGGACGGGCTGACCCCGCTCCGCCGTGCCTTGCAGGGCAGCTGTACCGCCGGCTGCCGCCCGAGGAGAGCGGGGAGCCGCGCCTGCAGGTACGGACCCGGAGCGCCACACCCGCCTCACCTGGCGAGTCCCACTCTACACGGCCTCTTAAAGCCCGCCGGGCTCCCACGGGCGGGGGGTGGGTTCGGTCCCCGGTTTCCCCCGTATATCCCGCTTGGAATTCGCTGTTTCAAACGAAATGCAAAACGAGGGCTTTTCCTCCAAAACGTGAGTGCGCCAGCGGGCCGGACGCGCTCGGTACTGCCCGCCGGGCCTTCGGCATCTCCCTCCACCGGCACTGAGGGGAAAATCTCCCGTTCCCACGGAGATTTTGGCGACTTGAAACCACCAGTCAGCAGCAAGTTCTAACTTAATTAACACCTAAAATTTTAAAGCATCCTTTCACATGTCTTTAGCCCCAGGGCTCCGAAGAAGCCAAGACATTTGTACATGCCTTCCTGAAGCGCAGCATGCCCAAAATGAAAGATGAGGCTATCCAGGATATGCTAACTCGGAAAGCTGTCATTCTGGAGCATTATCCCAAAAAAAAGACCAAGCAAAAGAGGAAGAAGACAAAAGGTTTTACTGCCAAGCAGAGGCGAGAGCTGCGTCTGTTTGAAATTGAACCTGAGCAGCAAAGGTAGGGCTTTAAAAGTAACTTTGTGTAGTAAAGGGGAACTACATAAAAAATGTGTAAAAGCAGCAGCGAGTGCATGTGGATAGGAACCCTCCAGTGTGTAAAATCACTCTGAAACACTGCTTGTGGCATTTCAGCATGAGAAAAGAATTCTCTTGTCTGCACGGGTGAAAGATTCATTTCTGTTGAGCTCATTTTGTGTACCTAAATATGACAAGAAATCAAACACAGACACAATCCCCTCTGTTTTCAGTTTGTAAAGTTGGACTGTCTGTGACCACACAGTCAAAGTTCTGCATAAGGTTCTTTGAATTTATTGTGCTGAATGAAGCCCCTACTTTGCTAATAGATTAAGCAGGGAGGTAAAAGAATGGGCAAAAAAGGAGAAATCTCTTCAGTCTGAGCCTGATGCTCTGAAACACATCACTGTTTTAGGCTGGTAGAAAAGAGCATGCTTTGTGCTTGTTTTATAAAGTAAACCAGCTGTTTGGAGTGGGTCACATTGCAGGGTAACTTAAGGTTATGTAACTTAAAAATGTCAGACTTAACTCCGTGGAAGTACAGACTACTTCAGCAATCAACCAATGGACTTTTTTACAACTAAATTTTGTATGATACTTTTCATTTATCTTTTTTTACTGCAGATATGCCATTTTCCTCCCACTCCACGAGCTTTGGAAACAGTATATCAGAGACCTGTGCCATGGACTCAAACCTGATGCGTATGTTGACAGATTTTAAATTTAGTCTGGGTTTTATACAGTAGATACTTCCAGTTTTATTGAGTTACTACTTGAAACACTGTGGCTCACTGATAAGCATATTGGTACTATTTCACAGAATCACAGAATTATCATGATTATAATAGTCATGGTGACATTTTGTAAATCTGACAGTTAATTTGATTTTTTCCCTCCTCTCTGATCCCGTTCTCTTCTTCAAGGCAACCCCATATGATTCAGAGCAAGCTGCTCAAAGCTGATCTCCATGGAGCCATTGTTACAGGTATTTTGTTTGTTTGCTTGTAGAATATCATCTGAAATTCAGGATTTGATTCTGTAGTTCAGGTGCTTATTTTTAAATTCCGTTCAGCATCATTAACTCTAAAATTACGTAGTTGAGATGGTATTTCTCTCCTTAAAAATGCTAATTACTTTACAACTACTCTTGAAAGTCATGTTGTTGGTTGCAAAGGTTAACTGCACATGTTACCAGTGATTACTGTAACTACATTATTTCAGAATATTTAAATGTTTATGTTTGAAAATGTCTAAAATCATGAAGCAACAGCAGAAGAGCAAATAAATTTTCTAATACAGACTTTTGTTCTTTCAGTTACAAAATCAAAGTGCCCCTCTTATGTTGGGATAACAGGAATCATTCTACAGGAATTTAAACACATCTTCAAAATTATCACTAAAGAGGACAAATTAAAAGGTATACAAGGCATTCTTTTTCAGTTCTTTTCATGACATGAATCATAAAAAAATTCTTAAGCACACTCTTCATTTTGTGCCGCTGAGTACATTGTTTTATATCAGTGCTTTTGGCTCTTTGCACAGAGTGGCAGAAGTTACTACCCAACAGCCCAGTATCTTACCAAAACCACATCTCATCAGAAATGAGCGGTTTTAGAAGATGTAACACTGAACTGTATGCTCCTGCAGGAGGATTAATTTTGGTTATTCCAGTTAAATGTGGAGGCTTGGGTTATTTTTCTTCTCTTGATAAAATATAAAAACCTTGAAATGTGTCAAGGCTCAAATCTCCGGGTGAATAACATCCCCTGGTATGTCAGGATATTTCCATAACAGGGACTTAAATCAGCACACTTTGCTCAGTTTATGTCCTTTTGCATTTCAGTTGTTCCCAAACTTAACAACGTGTTCAGCTTGGAGCTCGATGGATTCATTTCCTACATCTACGGCAGCAAGTTCCTGCTCAGAGCGAGTGAGCGATCGGCAAAGAAATTCAAGTTGAAAGGAACCATTGACCTGTGATTTCATGGAAACTCAGAAGCATTCACAGAAACGTGTTTTCCTGCAGCTCAAAGAGTAGGTTTTCTGGCAGATGGAAGAAGCAACAGCCATGTGAAATATTTCTAAAGCATTCCTTCTTACTGAAGAATGAGCAGTGTCTGCTGTCTTTAAGCAGTCTCACCAACTGTTGAAATTGATTATGTCTATTTTTTTTATTTATATATAATATTTTGTCTTGTATTACAGTTACATGATTAATATTATCTACGTGACTTCTGTTTCAGTTTATAAGTGTAAATTTGTACAATGAAAATTATAGTTTGGAACTTTGCAATAAATATTATTGTTGCCTTTTGTATAAATTGGGCTTTAGCTGCCTGTTGTGTGCTTGCAGTGAGACTGCAGGTCCTGACAAATGCTCTTCTAATCATTGCTCCTGGGCCAAGATCAGCATCTTGGCCTGCTGCAGGCACACGCAAATAAATTGTTTCAGTGGCAGGTTTTACCTTGAGCGTGTCCCTGGCTGGGGCTGATGTTGTTACAGGTGCCAGGTGTGTACAGTGTTGATGTGTAGGTGTAGCAATGTACAACCACAGCAGGCATGTCCTGCAGGCTGTCTGCTGTCTGTGCTCACTCGCACCCTGCTGCTGCCAGGGCCAGTCAGGTGTCTGCATCAGTAAATACACAGTGCGGGGAACCCAGCACAGCCCCTAAGAGAGACACACTTCAAGCTAGAAATTCACAGATGGAAGTGGCCCCCATTCAATCTTGTATTTCAATTACCCACAGAATTGCTTTATAAATATTTAACCTCTGTCCACAGAGCTATTGTGCTTTTTCTGTCCTCAGCCCCTTCTCATTTTTTTACTGTACACTTCATTTTTGATTGCCCAAATTACAATTCCTCATTGACCAGGCAGGTTTGATGTGTCTGGGCGGTGGAAGTGACCCCTGAATTTAGATTGCTTAACATTTTTTAGTTATAAAAGTGCTGTGGAGGCTTTAAGTGTAATTTTCAGGAGTTTTTCATCAATTTCACTACCAAATGGAAGACTTGTACATAGAAAATTTTTTTCCCTGTCACTATTCAAGCATTTGTAGCCAACCAGGGTAATTTCTTTGAAGAGAACACAGCTGTTCCTCACACAATCACACCCCAAAGCTGAGTAAGGGGCTGGGAGGGCAGCCAGAGCTTTTGTCTTACAGTCAGAGCCAGAGCTCATCACCACCTCCCACCCCAGTGCTACACAAACACACACCCGGCCCCCAAAGCTCCCAGTTCCTTTCCAGACCTGTTGCTGGGAGAGGTCACAGGAGAGCTGCAGCTCCCTGGCACGAGCCCTCAGACACAAAGCACCTTCACCATCCCTGAATGGGGGAGCTCACAGTGTGGGCAGTGCTGGTGTTCAGGAACAGATCCTCTGCAATCAGGATATGGAAGCAGTTGGTACAGAAAGAAAAATCTTCGTTGCAATTCTATCAAGTACTGCCCTTGAAATGGAGAAAACAGTGTTCTTGCCAGGGACAGATACTTTATATGGGGAAGTAGTAATTTCACACCAATGAGAACTTTTATCTGTGAAGTAAGAACAGTATGTGTTAAAGTTATTAGACATAAGTTAGTATTCTACCTTCCACTCATTAGTCCTTTCAACGTTCTAAAATTAAAACTCAGTGTCCTGTAAGAGGTCAGAAGGAAAAACAAAGATGTAGAAGTCCTAAATAATGACAGAAACTTTCATTTCACAACAACGACCTAGTTTTAATTTTGCTCATAGCCTTCAGTGTAACATCTAATTAAGACATCTGTTAAATGCCTATAATATTAAATTAATAGGGGGAAGCTAATAGAACTTTATTGACATAGTCCTGTTAATGAACATACAGGGCTGTTCATGGAGGGCTGAAAGAGACATTAATGGGGATGCCGTACAAATTGGAATTAGGCACAATCATGTCTCATTGTGCTGTGAAGGACAGAACATGTTCCACCATATGACATAGATAAACACAATACAACTTCCCATAGCTACTGGCACTTGCATTTTTTAAACTATTGCAGCAAGCACAAGAACAAACACTGCCGGGCAGTGCCCTGGGAAGAGCAAGGCTTTTGATATTTACAGTGAGGAGCCCAGGAGATGTCAAAGAGCTCCCCAGAGTAATCCAGGCTAGTGGCACAGAGAGGTGACAAATGCAGAATAACAAGAGCTGAGCAGCCCAGGATTCAGGATCCTTTCCTGCAGCTGGTACATCAGCTGAGAGGCCTTTCTGCAAAGCTTCAGGTGTCCCAAACAGCCCCAGGACTCACTCAGCTAAACCACCCAGAGCTGGGATCATTGCCCAGCCCCCGCAAATCAGCCTAATCCCACCTGGCACGGGCTCTGGGCACTTTCCCTAGAGCTCATTAAACTCCTCAGTGCTTGTCGAGGAACTTCATAGAAACTGGGAGAGGTGAAAATGACAGCTCAGCAGCCCTCCCCTGCCCATTCACAGCCAATCTCTGTCTCCTCATTAGCTGAGACGGTAAATCCTTAATGGATTTAATATTGGGAAATTGGAGAACTAATCACAGCTGTCTCTAATATGCTTCATCCTTCATATGTTCAACTCTGGATTGCACTCAGCAGAGGCTTTTTTGTAATTATTTTTACACCTAAACTCTCACTAACCAGGGAATAACAAACAGCAGTGAGCAACATCTCACTACCTTACACACATTTGTGCTTCCCTATTACTGTGTATGTATATTTATAACTAATATGAACTAAAACAATTGTAAGCAATTCAGTTACTGAATTCTGAACACTTAAGCAAGAATAGAAAAACAAAAATCCTATAATTTCTGTTTGAAACCTCAAAATAATTCATTGTAGGAAATGTTTAAAATTGAAGCCAATTCACATCCAAGAAAACACATGGAAAATTCTCTTTGAGGGGGATTTCCTCTAAAAAATGGGTTAAGACAGCAATACAGTGGAAACCCCAAAAAACTGCCTATGACTGACAAACTCATATTAAATCACTGAAATAACAGCAGCAAGTAGCTGGTATGTATTCGATTCATCCAGTGTTTAGAGAAGTGTAAGAGAGAGCACAAAATTCTGATCCAGACCATGCTTTCAGGAAACAGCAGCAATATTTTCTCAAAACCTGGGTGGCCCTCAGTCCCTTACCTCTGCAAGCTCTGCCTGTTGGATAGGGATTATGGAAAACTACAGAGAACCCAACATTTGATACTGAATTAAGAGCTCTCCCTGTGAAGAGAGCTCTCTGCTGCTTTCTATTATTAGTCAGATAAGGTACAGTATATTATAATCATGAGAAGAGAAAAAAGTCTACAATTAGCTAAAATAATATAACTGATAGGAAAAGGTACAGTCTAAACTTTACATTTTCTCCTACCCTGCTCCCCAGCCAATTTTTAGGCTATTCCTTTTTTTCATTTTGCTAAGAACTATTCCTATATTGCCAAACCATCCTGATTTTAAACATGTTATTTTCATATACTTTCAGGCACTGCCCAATCTTCTACAGGCATCTGAACAGCGTGTTAAACACCTGCATACAGGCCTGTTAATAGAAACTTCTTCCTGCTTTATTAGTTAATAAATTCAGCCTTATTTCTTTCAAGACTCAGGATAAGCTCCTACTCTCATGGCATATGTCCATTTTACTGAGGAACTAATCTTAAAAGGTACAAAAATATATCATAACACAGAACAATATTTATAATATTCAAATAGGACTCTGGCTTCACCTCAAAATTTTAAAATCAATAACCTGAACTGAATATAAATGCATAAAGTCTTATATGATTTTTAAGGGCAAAAGACATCAAAACCAAAACCTCAAACAGGACTGCACTCACTTTTCTGTGGGTCAGGGTTTCTCAGGTGAGCCTTGTGGCTCCAGGGCCCCAGGTTTATAACAGAATGTGCAGGGAAATGTTCTTGTTGTGTCTGTGTGTCCAGCTGCCCTCGTTGGCCTCTGACTACAAGCTCCTTGGACATTCTCTGGTGTACACACAGTACAGCCCCAAAATAGACTCCACTTTATAGCACCATTGCTCTGGGAGCGAGGGAAGAATAGGATTATGCACTCCTTGTAAATGTTAAAATAATTCCATAAATCTGAATAAAATTAATTTTTTTCTTGGTGAAATTGTCTGCAACACTCTGCCATGCATATTCTTCCTCTACAGGATTATTTCAAAATTATGGACTCAGAAATGTTCAACTGGATAGTTCTTGGGTGGCTGAGGTGCTCACTGAAGAATTTAAATGATGTAATAGCTATTGAACACCCCATTATATGGCTGCCTAATTAATGTGAATGATAGTTATGTCTTACTCACAGAAGATTATTTTACACGGAGGAAAATCTACTCACTGCCACAGTAGCCATTTCGATAGTTTTTATAGGAGCAGTTGCATTATGGCTTCATTGAGTAAAAGGTAAGTAGCCATCCTAAATAATGAAGATTGAAGGTTTAATAGTCCCAATAAAGAATCTTGCAGGTTTTTTATTTCAAAAATTAGAGTTTGATTGCAAGCATATGATAATGAGAGGGAAAAGAGCGCTGGCATGTGGAATCCATTTGGCTCCTTGGGAACTTCCATTTCTTCTATGCAGAAATGCAGACAAATGAGGACAGCAAAACAGAAAATAAGCTGTTCTTTACTTTCCCTACCAGCACATCCAAGCTGCAAGGCTGTCCCTGGGGGAGCATTTCCGTGGATAAGGACATGGGGGGCTGGGCTGGGCTGCTCGGAAGGCTGACCCTGCTGGCACAGCTGCACACGGCTGATCACGTACACACAAACAACCTCAAACAATGTGAAGAGCCCAGATTAGACCCATTTGAATGATGATATGCAGACATAAGCCAGCCTTGCAAACTTGTCTCAGAACTGCAGCCTATTACAGCAACTCTTTTTTGCGAGGCAATAGTCAAGGGACTTGGCATTTCTGTTACGAGACCCTATTTCCAAGGTTATATATCAGAGATTATAACAGCTATAAAAATTCAAATGAGATTTAAAACTTGGCATGAGCAGCCTCGCTTGGGATCTAATATTTTTTAAGTAAATCTTTACAGGAAAAGCTAAAAGTTTACTTGTTCCACTTGTTATTTTAGGTCTCCATTGGTACATAATTCTCAAATCTAGACTCTTACACTCTCCCCGTTTCAGAACCCAAGTAATCTCTTTTCACAGCTTGCATTTTCAGAATGGCAATTCAAAGATAGGACAATTGATTTGACATTTGTTTCTCCAAACAGCAAACTTTCAGGAAGGGTTTTAAAAGAACTTCTGTTCCAAGGCAGCCACTTATTTTTTTCTTCTTAAGCAATAAAGCA